AGGCTCTTTCACACTCCACAGTTATAGCATCAGACTCCACTTTAACTGCCATGATACTTTCCTATGGAATTCTAAGATCCTGAAACTACAAATTCCAGGATTTCACAGGACAGAGCCATGGCACTTAAAGTGAGATAGTAAAGCTATAACTGTGGAGTGTGAAAGGGACCTGAGATTTTTCTGGCTTCAGTATGGGAAACCATGATGACTTCATGTCTTCATAAAAGTTTTCCTCTGCCTTAAATCAAGCATGAAAGGACAAAGGCAAGTATAATATTTTTAGAGCTTCACGTGGGCAGCTGGAAAGATCCCTTATCCTATTCAATGTCACATTGTCTCCCTCTGTCCCATAACAGGCTCTGGAAAACAGTTCTTCATGTTTCCCATGTGCTCACTTTAAATCATAAAAGAAGAAGCCAGCTGTAGAGGTCAGCTATTTTTTGGTTAGTGCCTGTAACATAACGTTTTGCAACAAATTCACAAGGGTATCAATAAATCAGTGCAATGTATTCTATTATCATATTTATACTTTTGAGGGGCCAGACTGAGAACTCACCTATTATATGGCTTGCAGTTATGATATCATGATGCATTACCCTGTGACCAATAGAGAATAATTGCAGTTGTTGTGCTGGATCTGTCTTCTCAGTATCCTCTTTCTTCTCATACCCTTCGACATTTCATAGATGAAAAACAGGACACATATGGCCAACTGACATCAGAGGTGGACAAGATGGTAAATTTGCCTGAGCCTAACATCTGTACATTTAGAAATGTGCATTGTGAGTTTAACACAATCTTTTTGGTATGATTTTTTTTAAAAAATTACAGAACTCTATTAAAATAGAACAGAATGGATTTGTGAATGAACACATGGAAAACTACTGTGTATCAAAAGGCAATCTTTTGACATGAGACAGATTGCCATATTTAACTATGTCCACATTCATATTTTCCTAATACATATGCAATCACATGCAGAACTTGGAAATGTTATTTGTTTGGATTACAACTCCTAGGATTACTTACAAAATCTCAAAAGTAACAGGAGTCGTCCTGTTCCAGACAGCATAACAAAATAAGTAACTCTTCCATGCTCTGATCAGAGGATTCTTGTTGTAATGTGCATTTAAGTCAACAGGATCTACAGGAGAATTTGAGCAGTCGCACCTAGAGCAACTAATTGTCTGTGGTGTCAACATTTCTCTTTCTGAATAAAGTCCACACGCTGCCTATGAGCACTACAACCAACCCATCAAAAAAGTATTAATGTACCGTCTTGGCATGGGTGCCATCTGAAGCAGGTCACTTCCTTGGCCCAGAAAAAGTTGCTTTTGGGGACTACAACTTCCAGAATCCCCCAACCAGCTTAGTTGCATGTAATCTCTAAAAAATAAAGTCTTCCAGCTTTGCAGCTGATGCATGGCAGGGCTGGACCTACTATGGAGTTTATCACATGGGAAAAAATTGGTAGTTTAAATGGTGATTAACCCATCAAAATCATGCAGTTGAGATTAAAATGCAATTAAAACATGATTAACATTTCACATAATAACCAGAGAGTAACCAGTGAATGATTTATTGCTGTTTATTGCCTGGTTATTCATAAGATAATAGCACTTTAATCTCTTTTCATCGCGATGTGATTTGAAAACTATTAGCACAACTGCGTGATTATCCAGAGATATTCCTGGGATAATGACACCTTGAGTGCGACACCGTGTGAAAATCTTAATTACAAATGCGCAATTTTGATGGGTTAATCACTGTTTATACTTCCAATTGTCCCTGTGTGATAAACTCCTATGGTAGGAGTGCCTTTAGTCTGATTTAACCCCACAGTTCCCATCCGCCTGTGGGGCAGAGGTTCAGTTTAATAGTGGGTGCTCTGAGAGAGAAAACCTCCCTGAAAACTATAATGCCATCTTATAATGCCAGAAGAAATGATTAAGAGAAGCTCTGTGGCCACAATGCTCCCCTTGTGTCTATAATTTTCCACATCAAATCCATTCTCTACAGTCTTGAGAACTGATGGTTATACCGAGGCAGCTGATCAAAGTTCCCAAGCAGACTATCATGTGTGAACAGTATGGTTTAAGAGATGGAGCCCAAAAGACAGGGTGGCCCTGTGCTCGCACTTAGGCTTTCAATCTTGGTTTCAGGTGGCTGACCAGAGCCCACAGCAAATCCACAAATGTTTGTGGATTCACACATCTCCTGCAGACCTTAGGTGGCTACCATGTTATTGTTGTTATGTGCCTTTAAGTTGACTCTGATTTATGATGACTCTATCAAGGGTTTTCTTAGCAAGATTTTTTCAGAAGAGATTTGTTGTCATTTTCCACTAAAGCAGAGAGAAGGTGACTTGGCCAAGGCCACCTGGTGGATTTCCACAGCTGAAGGAGGATTTGATCCCTAGTATAGAGAAAGCCAGTGTGGTGTAGTGGCTTGAGTGCTGGATTATGACTCTGGTGAACAGAGTTCAAATCCCTGCTCCGGCACAGAAACCCACTCAGTGATTCTGGGCAAGTCAGAGGATGGCGATGGCAACCCCCCCCCAAAAACCCCCCACAAATCTTACCAAGAAAACCCTGTGATAGGTTCATCTTCCTGTGATAGGTTCACCTTAGGGTCCCCGTGAATCAGAAACTACTTGAAGGGACACAACAACTCCCAGAACCCTATTCTAACACTCAAACTACTAGACCATGATGGCTTCAGCCGGAAATAAGGTTTTCTTGGCCAGATCTGTTTGGAGTGGGTTTGCCATTGCCTTCCTCTGAGTCTGAGGGAGGATGACTTGCCCAAGGTGGCCTGATGGATTTCCATGGGTAAGCAGACATCCAAGCTCTGGTCTCTCAGAGTCCTAATCCAACATGAAAGCCACTACTCCACACTGGCTTAATCACAGCGTACCTAGCATTGATTTGTCCATTTTCCCACAATACAATACAAAGAGCAAATGAAATAAAATGATACAACAGCACCTAGTAGCAGTGTATTCATAGTAGAGTGCTTGGAGGAGAGATCCATGTGATTTGGAGGGGAAATATAACAGACATGAACTGTCCTTATGGCCCTGTGTGCTTCAAGTCCTACAGCTTCTGTTCAAACCCCTGGACAACCAGGAAGTGTGAAACAATTTTATATTTTGAAAATAGCTAAGGGAAGTGTTGCCAGTAGGATTCACAGTTGGGATGGAGAATCTTCAGCCCTTCAGAGGTTGATGCATTGTTAACATTATAACCTACCATTAACCAGGCTGTCTAAAGCTGATGACAACTGGGATTCACCAATAGATTGTGAACAAAGGCTCAAGAGAGTGAAGAGTGTTGAGAAGGACCACACCAAGCATGGATATTTCCAAAATGCCTCAAAGGCAGGCCATTAAGAACTTCTACTGCTGTTTGTTCTGCAGTAATTGGTATTCAGTAAAGTATTACCATTTCTAAACCTTGTAGCTTCATTTAGCTAATGTTGATCATGAGCACCAATACATTGTGTTTGTGGGGGGGGGAGAGATTTGATGTACCTTTACCATGAGACAGCAAGCGTGGTTTAGTGGTTTATGTGTTAGACTAAGAAACTGGGAGACCAGGGTTCAAATCCACGCTCAGCCATGGAAACCCATTGGGTGACGCTGGACAAATCACACCCTCTCAGCCTCAGTGGAAGGTAAGGGCAAACTCTCGCTGAACAAATCCTGCCCCAAACACCCATGATGTTTGCCCCAAATCCTGCCCCAAACCCAGAGCCTCAGGGTTACCATATGTCAGAAATATCTTGAAGGCACACAACAACAAGAACCTTTTTAGTGACATAGGACGGACACTAAAAGCAACATCAAACTTTCCAAAGCTCACTAAAACAACAACAACACTGCACTGTATCCTTCCCTGTCAGCATTGAAGTTGTGTACTCTGTTGAATGAACCAGTTAAGTCCATGAGGGCCCAACTCTTTTCTAGCTCTCACTCTGGGCCATTCAGATTTGGGAGCAGAACTGCGTCTTTAAATTCAATACACATGCATGATGTGAACAACCGCTGTGCAATTGTACTGTGGGTCCAGGAAGCATCTCTGTCTGTTTGATATAATTATCTGGCACATCATCATTTCACTTCCTCCCTCATACGGCCCAAGGAAATTTTCATCTAGTTGTCACTCAGCAACTCTTACTACCTGTTTCCTGAGTGGGAGTGCACAGCAATCTCAATAGCTCAGTTTTGTTTCCCTCCTGAATAGACAAGAATGACAAGCTACTGGTTTTGTGAAGGCTGATGCCATCTGCAACAACATCACCACAAGAAGGACCAGCCCACGCCTGTCATCACTAGGGGCTGGTGATCCCCACGTCTGTGGGGTGATGCATCCACTCTGAGGCTGCATCTGCACCGCATAAATAATCCAGTTTGACACTACTTTGATTTCCACTGCAGTTCTATTATTCCAGGACTCATTTGGCATGAGTGGAGATGATTCTCCCCTTCTTCCCCTCCCTATTCCCACGTAGGCTGAGCTTGTTTTTACTTCATTGTCCTTTCCGTTTAATTTTTAAAATGTTATCATTATGTCCGAATTGTGCAATCACATCAGAAATAAAAAAAATTAAATTTAAAGGCATATATGCACCGGGTAGGGCATACATGAGGAGGAAGGCTGCAGAGCAAGCACAGGACTATGGATCACCAAAGCAGCATAATAGCGCAATTGCAGAGAAGTGTGCTAGTGATTGTTTTCAAACCAGTATGTTCCTGTCTGCTTCAACTATGTGTTGTTGCAAGGCAACAGGTTGGTATGCTAAAGTCCTTTAGACAATTGTGGCCCAAGCTGAATGCTACTAAAAATTGCAGATGTTATTTCCTAGCTCCTTGAAGTACTGAGCAACAAGTGACATACCTACTGGTTTGCTTTTGCCTGAGCCTACTGGGAAGGGCAAGACTACAGTCCAAAAAAGCAACTTTTGAAAACTCTGCCCCCATCTTCAACGTTGTTATCTCAAATGCCTCCCATAGAGTTACAAACACTGGAAATAGCATTCAGGCTTAGAAGACTTCTATACACTAATAGTGAGCTCATTCTCCCCATCTGAATCCTTACGTAGAGCACAATCTTTACATAAGTGGGTGTTATAAACAGGTTTGGGGACAACCCTATGTTTTGCAGAAGTATACGGATGGTTAGGAGGAGGGGGAAATGAGGAGGGAACAGACCTAATCATGTCAATTGTTCTTCTGTTCTTGCACATCATCTAGAGCAGGGGTAGGCAACCTCAGGCCCGGGGGCCGGATGTGGCCCCCCGAGGCCTTTGGACCGGCCCCAGGCCGGTCCTGCCACCGCCGCTGCCACCCGCCATAATGATATTATTATTGTTATTACTTGTTCTTGGGGTTTTCTTGGCAAAATCTCCACAGGGGTTTTGCCATGGCTTTTCTGGGGCTGAGAGAGTGTGTGTGCATATTTTTTTTTATATTTTTTTTTTAAATTAATTAATTAATTTATTTTTGGTGCTTCGGCCCCCCAATTGTCTTAGGGACAGCAACCCGGCCCCCAGCTGAAAAAGGTTGCCTACCCCTGATCTAGAGTTTGTTTTATGATAAGCAGTTAGAAATTATACTAAAGAAAGAATGAGAACTGAACGTATTCACTGCTGATGGGGAAGGAAAGCAGAGGGATTCAAAATGAAGCTGGGGATGGAATGGAGAATCTAAAAAAGGGGGATGCTTGGCTGGCAGTAGAGAAGTAAGAGTAGACCATACTGCAGCATTTTGTTGCAGATCTTGAATATAGGTATGTATTTTATTTTATTTATATCCTGCCTTTTCCTGAGGACCGGATCCAAGGTGGTATACAACATTTTTAAAAGCACAATACAGTTAAAGAACTCTTAATACAAAAGTTAAAACACAATTAAACTAAATTGAAAACAGTCTTATCAGATCAATGTTCACAGGTGGAAGAATCACAGACAATGCTCTGATTTTTTCGATATTCAGTTTCTCAGGTTATTGGAGAAGAAGCTGGAGAAAAAAAGAACAAGAGAATGATTTGGAGCCCAAAGGTTGTATGAAACACCAGTCAAGCTGGACTCCTTTCCACGCGTTCTCCAAGCTATGGAATGGCCGTGTCATAGGGTGCATCTACGCTGTAGAAATAATGCAATTTGATACCACTTTAGCTGCCATAGCTCTACCTTACAGAATCCTGGGGTTTGTAGTTTTGTGGCACTCCAGCACTCTTTGGCAGAGAAGACTAAAGACCTTGAACAACTACAAATCCCAGGGATTCCATGGGATGGAGCTACAGCATTTAAAGTGGTGTCCAACTGCATTATTCCTACAGTATAGATGTACCCATACAGTCCATGCTTACTGAGAAATGTACACTTCCCAGTTTCTTTTCTCTTTTTTCTCTTTAGTGCAAATACCAGTAATCAATGATTCACCACGTCACAGCAGCCGTTTTCCAAGAGACTGTCTTGTGTGTGTACATTTCCCACTTTTGCAGAAGCATTCGGTTTCACTATGCGATGCCTTGCAATAACTACTGTGGAAGGCAGACCTTTTTTTATTTGCTGTGTGACAAAAGACACCCTCCTTAGCACAGCTTTTAAAAGGAGCAACAAGGTCAGAGCACAGCTGCCGAACCACATCTGAGGAACCCAAGGACCTTGTTACCACCCAATTTCCCCCTAAGATGATGGTGCAATTGTAGCAATGATGGCATAGGCAAATGAGGCAGTGCCACCTAGACATTAATTTTTTTAAAAATGTATTTCTTTAGAAGTTGAGTGTACCCCCAACTCATGCCATTCTAATCAAGTGTCCAGTGAATAAAATGGAACAATACTGACAGAGCTATTCCCTTCCTCTGGATTGACATCCTGCCATTTAATTCATTTTCTGGCTTGATCTCTCCAACCAAAGTTTTCCTCTATAATACATAATCTATAGAGAATATAGAATCACTGACATAAAATTTGAAAGCCAGTCGTAGTTGTAACAACATCAGTCCCATCTGACATAAAGGGGCCTATCCAGAAGAGGAAACGACAGTCATCTCAATAGGTTTCAAAAGTGAGGTACTCTAGTGTTTGAGTACAGTATTATGTGAACACATTTAATGTTAATTTGAATGTTTTAATAATGTAATTATAATGATCAGAATATTTAATGTTTCTGAACATCGATGAACGTGAAAAAACAATACAGGTTGATTCTCCCTGATCTGGAATTTCAAAATCTGAAATATTCCAAAAACCATCTAATGTTTCAGAACATTCATGAATATGAAAAAATAATGAAGGCTGAGTCTCCCTTATCCAGAATTCCAAAATCCTAAATATTCAAAAAAAAATCCCTAATGTTTCAGAACATTTACAAATGTGAAACAATAATATAAGCTGAATCTCTCTTATCCAGAATTCCAAACTCTGAAATATTCCAAAAAGCCACCTATGTTTCAGAATATTCACAAATGGGAAAAAATAATACAGGTTGATT